AAAACCAAAAAAAGAACAAAAAAAAAAAATCTTAGCCATATTTATGGAGATACTGTAATCTTAAAATAAAAGCTAACACAAGCTGCATAGGCCTAATCCTTCAGAAAACAAACCTTTTGTTTTCAAAAAAATCATTATGGTAATGCAGTTGTGGAACAAAACACAATTTCCCTATGTCTTCCATCTCACTGCCAAAATCCATAGGGCATGTATGCCTCAGGAGGGGGCTTAATGCTGTTAGGCTCCTGTACCAGCCCCTTGCCCAGCAGTAGGAAACCCTCAAAATCGTATTTAGTGAATAGTCAAGTGTTGCTCACTGGTACCCTACCACCTAAAAAAAGGTGTTAACCCTGTTAAGTTTGATGCTTTTGTCATTATGTTAATCAATGCAAACAGTATTTAAAAGAGATATTTCATCCACAAACAGTCTTTGCTTCCTTTCAGTTTAACTGCAAATGTTTATAACACATTTCTTGCTGAAAGAAATGTGAGTAATTTTTTGTGTGTAAAAATAAGATATTCAAAGTACATAGATCCATTTACTTTTCAAAATCTACCTTTTTGCTCAAAGAATAGACTATCCACACACACACACACACACAGATTTACGTTATTTTCAGAAGACCTGTGTTACAAAAATGATTATATCTTTGACAGCAAGTTTGGTAAGACCATCCAAAAATCTCGTTAAGAATTTAAAACCCATTAAATACTGAAATTAAAGCCCCTTCTTCTTGAAGTCCCATAACAAAACTTCAGATTTAAGAGTGTTAGCTGACCTAGGTGAAAAATCCCAGAGTTGAGTAGCTGGAGGTAAAGAACAATAACCTCTGCTACTTGGAACAGGGGACACAGGGAAGAGCTTGCTGTGTGATGCTGGCATCCCACATCCATAGCCCTTCCCAATCCCATTCTGACATAGAGAGGTCTGACTTAGCTGAATAAAATGGATTTTCAGTAAAACTAGAATGATTAATTTCAGCAAAGGAATAATCCTCATTTTTAAAAAATAACAAAAAGCCCCAAAACCAAACCAAAACAACAACAACAAGAAAACCGACGGAAGCTAATACAACTTGACCTAAGGTCATCTCGGTCTCACTGAAAATATTGCAGTAAGCTTGGCAAAGACAATATATACATTTTAAACAAGGTTTCCAGATTTATAATTAAATTGTCATTACTGGTAGAAGTTTGCTCAACAGAGGTGTTTATCTTGATAAATGTTGACTTATGCCATGCCTCCTCTCTTCCCTCCAGACCTCTCTCCACACAAATTTGTCATGCATTTCCGGGTCTGTACAGTCCCAGCTGTGAATTTTATATCTATCCCAGCCAATTTCACACTAGGGGAGCTATATGGGGCTGACAGCCAGCCAGTTATGAGAAACTGAGCTAGAAAATAAAGCATCCAAAGGGGAAAAAAGTTAGACTTATAAGATAGATTTACTTGCAGAAGTACAGACCCCAATCACTTACAAAGGTAAGCTGCTAAGTGCATAGTTACCTGATGGTGCGTGCCATCTTCACTGACACATTCTGTGCAGACTTCTTCATTAACACAGCTGTCATTAAAAATCACCTGTCCGTCTGGACAGAAGCAGCCTTCTGTGGGATAATCCTTGCAGACACTGACTTTGGTACTATTCTCACAGTGCTTTATGCAGGCTTTGTGGCAGTGATCATATGTCAAATATGTGGGACATTTCATTGCTGAGGAAGACAGAAAAAAAACTCTTTAAATAAAGAGATCTGAAATGCAGATAGATGTTTCCACTCACACTTTCTTTAGAATTTTGTTCAGGTTTTTGAAAGCCATCATCTGATTAACATATTTTGCCCTTTGCAGCCACCAACATCCTTGAAAATACATTTTTAAAACTAACAAAATCCGCAGTGGAAAGTGATTGAAGGCATTTGCTTAAGTTACAGCCCATGCAGAAATCATCAAGCCACATGTTCAGGTCACATGAATCAGCAAAGTATAACTTACCCTAATAACAATACAAAGGCTTACATGAGCTGAACATCTTGCCTAACTTTGTTTTTGATACTGAGGAAGAGAAGTAAGAATTTGGAACCACTTTTACATGTATTAGAGAAGCACTAGTACCAGAGCATGGTTAGGAGATTATCCAGGACAGACTAAAGCATTGAACAAAAATTTTTTTGACAACTTGATAGGCAGCAGTGTTCCCAAGCAACTAAAGCTAACAAACAGAACATTTTGCTACTTCAAAACTGAACCTTATTAACTGAATTGCATTATTAATGGCATTGACTGAATCAATCAAAGTTGCATTCCCCTCTAAGCCAACACATAACATTTTTACTGATGAGTTCACAAGAAGTTTCTAAAAGCAAACACAAAACTAAAGCTACAGCTATTCAAGAAACCTATGGAGACAGCTTCCTTACTTGTGATCTCCCTTAAGTCTATTTTATTTTTTCTACAACTTCAATTAGGAAAAAGTGTTTCTTATTTCCCAGTTTATGACCACTGCGGAGTTTATAAAACTTCTTTTCAGTCCCCTGACAAAAAACACTGAAAGAAAATTACTGAATGAAGACCTGAGCTCCCAAACAAACAAGCATTCATCAGCTGAACTTTCTACACACACCCTTCTTAGCCAAAGGAAACAGAAAATAAATGCCTTTAATGTTAACCCTTTTCTGTTTCAAGCCGCGCTAAATCAAATTATTCCTGTTGTATTCGAGTCTATGGCTGTATGTGTGGATCACCATCATAGTTCAGCAGATGCAGGATGGGAGTCCAATCTCACCATGAAATGCTTTGGCTGGATTCTGAAAACACAAAAAGGTCTATCCAAGTAAAGTAGGAGAAATCACCTGCTTATAAACCTGTACTTGCAGCTACCTAGACTATTCTATGTTTTCCAGAAAAATTAATTTCCAGAAGTAGTTTTGTAAACAAGGTGCCTAGAGTAAGCATCGGTGCTTATTGCCTGATCTCATATCAGCTCTAAAATACATCCACACCACCTATTAAGGTAGTGTGTCATTTACTTTTTTATTCTAGTGTTAGTAAATATACTCAGCGCATTGGCTTTCATCTTGCTTACCTACCACTAGCCCTAAAGCAAATCTAATAAATCTTCTCTGTGCAAAATTAGATTAATTTATTTTAGAGTTTAACGCTGATGCCCATCAGCACAGAACCTGGACAACTCTCAAGCAGAATGAGTACCAATGCTAAAGCCTCTAACGTACTTCATATAACATAGCCCTTTCTTCTTCCTCCTCTTTGGCTGGCATTAAGGAGCCAGATGTGTGAAAAATGCAATGAAGAACCATGTCCTAGACTCTAGATACGCTATCAAAAAGCCTGTGTGAAATGGCAATGTTTTTTCAAGGAAGGAAGAAATGAGGTGATTATGTTTTGCAAAAAGAAATATAAATAAGCTCATGTGAATGGTCTTGTTTTGAAGTCACCTCTGTCCTTGGAGGCACAGGAATGAGATGTGCATAAGCAATATCAAGAGACTGGATAAACTCCATCAACTTCTGGAAAATCATCCTAACAATCCTTTTTCATCCTACTGGCACCATGACAACCTGGTGATTGTAGAAAGCCACCTCAGACACATTACTGTCCTTATGCTCCAGAGATCTGGACAGGTCTTGCATGACTTACAGGTAACTCTGCTTTTTGTACAGAAACTTCTGCCAGAGGTATGGAATGTGAGAAGGCATGAAGGACTCCCCACAGTCAGCCTCAGAAACAAGTATTTCAACAAGCCACCCTCCTGGCTGGCTATTTCAGTGCACATCTCAAATGGTTGTTGTTTCTGAATGAAAAGTAAAAGACTGTGGGTACTAGCAAAAGGGGAAAATAAGGCTGAAAACCAAATAATTAAAGAGTTACTTTTCTGCCAAATTACACTATGATCATGTATTGATATTGTATTTTGTTGGCTCCATTAAAACATTACCTTTTCTTTCAAAGAGGGAAGAAAACAGTAAAAGAAAATATGGGGGGTAAGGGGGGTGGGGTTACAGTTTCCTGTAAACCTATGATTTCAAAGGGTTATCTGGCACATTTAGGTATTGACATTTCTTCAGCTACTTATTTTTCCTTTAAATTACAGTAGTTATTCCTAGTAGGCACTGGTTGGGAGAAAATAACCTCTATGAGAATCTACAGAAGGCTGAAGTCCATCAAAATAAAATAAACGACTTAACAAATTAAAAGTGAAAAATCTAGTTACAGTTTGTACTGGATTCACTCTGACTTAGTGGCTCAAACAGATAAGACAGGAAAAAACATCCTTGGTTAAAGTACTAACTGCATATTTAGTGGGAGGGGTTCAAGACTGTGATGCATGGAGAAAGGTACACGTCCTTTCAGGAGACAATGCCACATCTTTCTTATCAGTAGAATAATTTAGCACTAATGTAGCAGCTAGCTAGCTCCTGAGGTCACATGCTGCTGGCTTGCCTTTTGACTCACTGCGCTGTCATGAGCGGCCCAAAGGACAGCTAAAACCCCACTGCCATTGAAGCTGGAGTGAATAATGCACCAGGGCCACTAGCTCACAAGCTGCCAGTCAATTTCCCCACACCGCTAAGGCATGGTTCTCTTAAACTTCCCTTAACTGGTCTTCTTTATCCAAAGGAGTATGTTTAGAAGGGTTTTTCCAATGTTCTTGAGTGTAGTTTCAAGGTCACATTAAACCAGTTTAGAACAGTGCTGCCGTCAAAAGGGGAAGTCCCTCCTTAATCTCCTCACCTCAGCTGCTCTTTCCTGCTGGTACTTTTTTTACTTTTACAGCTAGTTTTCAGAGCTTACCAATCAGCATTAGGACTACTACCAGCACAGCAAAAGGAGTGGGAATGCATGTCTGGAGATGGAAGAGGAAAACTGTCCCAGATCAGTTGAAGGCAGTTGCAAAGCCACCCCCATACTGTTGATTTCCAAGTCATGGTTTAAATCCTTCAGCTGTCATAGTCCTCACCAGCATGCCTTGCTTACACAGTGAACAAGCAGCAGCAGATAATCTCACTGTAGCTCTACTGCACTAATCCTTCATTAGCAGAGGTGGTTTAAAGGTTTGTTGAATTCCATTGCTTCTCTCTCCTCCTCCTGACTCTTGATCTCGATTCTCTGTCAGATGTCACTGCCCCTCAGTTGAACAGGCATAGCCTGTTATGCATTTGCTTTCTAACCTGGGCCTGCAAAACAACTCAATGAAAGACAAAACACAAAACCCTCCAATAACCAGAATGACTCATGAAAAACGTTGTTTCCAAGCAAAACATTTTTCCAGGAATCCCTGCAGCTGCTGAGCACCACCAGTGTCCTCCTCAAAGAACCACAGTTTTACTGAGCAGTACCAATTAGCGGTTTGCTTCATAGACTGTGTAAGCATCAACTTCCAATCTAAATTTAATTCATTTGCAAGCTAGTATTGGCAAGTACCTAGAGGGCATGTCCACACTGCAAATAAATGAGTTTAAAGAGCTCCTAAGAAGCACTCGTGGAAACATTAGCATCTGAAGATTAACTACTGCTGCTGCGGTCATTCATCTTCTGAGTATTTCTGCTTTCTGAGCAAAACTGGTGAACTGCTACTGTTACTTGAGCTATGCAGTTCAAAGCTGACTTGGTCACCACCACATGAGCTGCCATTTCTTTTGTAACTGCGGAATCAATGTATCTCGGTCCATTCATTAACTACTATATAAACAATCCTGTTTCTAGGTGAATAAAGCTTCCTCTCCACACAAAGCTGAATCCCAGCACATGTTGATATTAGCCAGGCAGTGATTTGTTAAAAATCCCTATAATCTTCATATTGAGATAAAGCCCATACTGTTATCGAAGTGGAAACTCCATTCAGTAGGCATTCACTGTGGGGGTTAGTCTGCTCAAGGGGCGCGTATTCTATGCCTTGGGGTTACATGGCTATCAGTGGAAGCTACAGGCTGCTGCAGCAAAAGTCTACTAAGTGTAGGGTCTAGAAAAAAAAATAAATTGAAAAATATATCTTCCTCACTATGCATTCCCACCTTGGAGTAAAGTTTCCTTCTATTCATTGACACAAAGCTGAAAATCTAACAGGTAGCACTCAACACATCCACCCTTCCAAAAAGGAGCAAGGAAATATCGGGCAGTGGAAATGAATGAGCACAGGATGGAGAACAGGCTCTGTCTTTATCAGATATTCCAGCAAGTATATTTATCCATCCAGGCAGAGCAGTCAGGAAAGACTTGTACTGCTTGAAATGTCCCAATATGGCAGGACAAAAAGCCAAATCAAACCTTAAAAAAATGACAGGGATTCATTGGAGTGGGAGGAGGGAAGCAAGGTACTCCAGAACCATACCATTGTTATTAAACCTGTAGTGGTAGACTGATCAATCTGCACTGTCTATTTAGTCATTAATGTAACCTGTATAATGTCCCTGTAATTGGCAATTTTATTTTTGGCAGTTGCACACATGCATCTGCTTGAAGGAAGAAGATGATGCTATTGCTAGGACATTAACGACTGTTTTGTGCAACAAGTGTTAAAAAGGGCAACTCTTTGGCTATCCTTGTCCATGCTGTGTAAAAATATGGGAATTTGAAAACTGCAGAGTTATTAAGGTTTTCTGCTGACATTCAGTCTTGAACATTACAATTTGCAAAGTCTGGCTGAAGCACTAAATTTGAAAAATGGTTGTCGGTATTCTCCCTCTGTTTTCTAGGACCATATTCCAAACAGACTGTGGTGTTTCTTAAAAGATTCAGTCTGCAACAGCAACATGTCCCTTAAAAACCTATCTGTTAAAGATACTTAAGATACTATATGGAGGCTCAAGCCAAATTCAAATTCACATTCTTGACACCATTCCCTCTGTCTGAGTTTAAAACTTGAACAAAACCATGCACCGAGTTCTTGCTGTATCATGCCTTTAGGATGATGGTTCTCCAATTCTGAAATGAAAAGTATTTGGGCAGCAAGAGGGAAAGAAAGCAAGGCAATAAGAACTGACTAAATTGGAGAGGCAGGGAAGTGAAGAACAACTGAGATATCAAGATACTACATGAGGGGCTATCTGAGAAATAAAGTGCCTACATACATATACACTCATCTCAGATACCTGACTAAACCAGAAACAGTGTTAGTGAATATCTATAACCATCACTGCAGACAGACTTACACCAGAAGGTGTAGAATAAGCCACCTCAGAAGTAGGTATACAAAATGACAACCATCTGCCCTTAGCCCTAACAAGCTTGTCTTGCTCCTTTTGGGCTCTGGGCAACTTGCAAGGCTCACATCCTGCCATAGTCCTTTCTCACAGCACAAACTCTTCACTTTCAAAACACAAGCAAAACACAGCCGGAAGGAGAACCGGATTTGCAAAGTAAATTACAACTGGTTTGACCAGTTAACTGGCAGGCGCTGGCAAGAAAACGCACCACAGAGTGGCCATTTCCCCATTTTTCACTGCAGTAGAAACTTAAAATCACAATAGCTCTTCCATCACTGTCTGAAATTGATTGGGATGTGAGGAATCTGCAGAAACTATTACAGAGAATCCAGAAAAGTCTGATTTTGTGTCATTGGCAGTTAGTTATGATAGTGACAGGCTGGTGAGCAGTCTGCTAGTCTAAATTACATGTTTCCCTGTCTGCCTTGTACAGATACATCCAGTGTTCGTACCACAGAAATGATACGTGCAGCTAAAACTGCCTAGCAGAATCAGAGCAGACTCCCAGTTCAAACCTGGCCCCACAATGGTTCGGTGGCTGCAGAGTCAGGTGCTGCCACATAACTGCGTTTGCCTGTGCATAGCTTTCACAGTGTCTTTATTTCAAGGTTATCCCTCCAGCCTTGCATAACTACCTTGCATTTTACTAATTAGCAGTTTACTAAGAAACACCTTTTCCATAATACACAACTTAGTGGATGACAAGCCACTTATCAGATCTGCAATGACACTCACATGGGAAACTTGATTTGGAACTTCTACCCCATGACATGATATTCAAAAACTAATATTAGACTGACAAGATGGCCATTGCCACCACCGTCACCAAGTTAGACAGTTTCTATATCAGTTTTAAAGTACTGTAAACCCCTTACGACACAGCTCAGGTGTTCTCCAGTCTGTGCAGACCCCGTTTTCCCTGCAGATGTGAGCATAGGAAGTTATCATCTCGCAGGCTTCATCCTCATAGCAGCTGCTTTCTATGCAGGCCTCGTAGAACATATTTGGGGAGATCACCCTGTGGCACTCAGCAAAGCGATCAGAGAGCAGAAGGTGGCAGTGGCTTGTTGCATGCTCAGAGCATCTGTCTTCTCTCCGGATTTCACAGATCTTCCCCAGCTCTTTCACCATCCAGTCTTGGATAAACACACTGCTGTCAGGAGTGACAGATCCATCACGTAATGAGAAGTCATTGATGTGGTTCTGGTCACACACCCCTAGGAGGGTGAGTAAAAGGTAAAGAAAGCATCCAAATACAGTCAGCAATAAAACAAAACTGGAGAAAACAGGCACGGGACAGACAGAGATGGTTGGAGCTGCTTGGTGAACACCAAAGGGAAGAGGAATGAAAGATATTCCTTATAGCTATTATCAATGGAGGCATAAAAACCCTGGGTCTTGTTTCCCATTTCCTTACTCTAGGAAGTATAGGTTATGCTACAGAGGTATAGATGGTAGAGATAATACCACAGAGAATACTATATACTTAATTTTCCCAGGTAATAGTACCCCTGACAAAACTTTCACCTTCACTGAAGGCATGGGTCATGTCTCTCATCTAAGTGTATATGTAAGAACTTAAAGCCTTATAACAAACCAAAAATCTCCTTGAAAATATAATGATATCATGAGAAATAAGTAAAACATGAGAGAAGTCTAGCTTTGCTCTTTCTAAGGTATTACTGAGTCAACGAGCTGTTTCATTGATGGCCATATTAGAAAAACCTATATAGGTTAGCAATGTGCCAACAACGGGGAATCAGTTCAGCCAGAGAATTTACAGGTTCAGGATCACACAAATTTCAATAACATAAATAGCAGTTCAAGCCCAAGTAGGAAGCTATTAAAATTATTAGCTTTCAAACTTACCACAAAGCCCTTGTGTTCCTGAAGAAAAGCTCTTTGAATTAAGTTTAAGAATAAATTCATTGTTTCTTGGAGTAAACGTGAGATTATGTCCAAGATGGAAGAACTTGATTTCGTGCATTATTGCTCCATAGACAGTGACTTCAAACAAACTGCTGGAATAGGGAATATGAACCCTTTCACCATTAACAGCCACCTGTTTTCAAAAAGGCAAGATCATCATATCAGTTCTAGCAAGCAGTTAAAATCAATCCAATCTTACAGCTGAAACACATTTTGACTTCACAGGTAGTTGAATATCCAACTGAATCTGGACATAACAATCAGTTTTGCAAGCTGAAACTTTCTATTGAGTCTAAAAACACACAGAACTAATTGATCTTCATTCTGTGTATTATATGAACAACTTTTTCAATATTTTCCCTCAGCATCACATATATACAGACTAGCAATCTAATGCCATGAAGCTGCAATGCTGCCTACAGACTGATTACCAATACACCTCAGTGAAAGTCAAGGCTGTCCATCACCATGCAGAACTGGGTGCAGATATTTTGGTCCATCCTATTTTGCTCCACTCAAGTCAGAAGTGAACATCTTTGCAGGCTAACTAATTCCTATATGTCTGAGGAACTCAGAGTCTGAAAATGTGTCATATTGAATTTGACTACTTCTCTGCCTATAAAATAGATGTAATACATACTAAGCTGGCCTTTCTTCTAATGCTGAGGTTCATGTGCACACAAGGTAAGAACCAACTTGCTAGCTCTTCAATTCACTAGACATGCACAAGTTTGTGAAGAATAGACTGCTCTCCCATGCACCAAATGATAATATTGTGTAAAGGACCTCTGTCAACAGAGGAGAATCAGAGTGCAGTATGTCCTGTCTATAATCCCTGCCTTTCTGGCAGAAGTGTCAGGGAGATGCTGCCAAATCCCATGTTCTTGACATTGTCACACCAGCACAACAGAGAGAACAAGAAGAGAAACGTGTCTGGCTTGTCATGCAAACATAGATTGTATCACAAAATTGAAATGAGGCATTGGCTCATTTCAAGAATAGGTTGCAAAGGGAACAGAAACTGGATAAAGGAAAAAAAAATTGTCCCTGTAACCTGAAATTCTATAGCATGAGCAGCCAATGCACAGATCATTTCATTGTGTTTAGCTTACTGTCATGTCACTGAAGAGCTGAACAGACACCCCACGATGTTTCACTTCAATGGAGTCCATACAGTTCATCTTTGGTGTTGCTCTGCATGGTCCTTCATGGAGGAGAATTTCAACATCCTGTTGCACATCTCGAAACAAGGTGTAGGAGCAATTGCCAGTCAGCTTAAAATTTAGCCCATCAAAAGTGACAATATGTCGAGATGAACTTCCTATACAGACACCTGCAAATCAATTTTTAAAAAAAAGCTCCATGTAGGCATTCACATTAGACTTTCTTCATAATTGTTATGGGCATGTGGAATCAATTAATTGAAGAAGCTAGGAAGGTGATGAATCAAAAATGCTTGTAGCAAATCACTGACAAAAAACTTTGGTAAATACTTCATCACAAGTTTTGTTTTGGTTTTTGTTTTTTATTTTTTTTTCCTCTGTCTTTGTCTGGAGCAATTAGAATTACAAAAGATTTGGATAAACTCATAGAAAATCCCTCAGCATGAAGTTTACTCACATTGAATGTGATTTATTAATAGATTTTATATGAAAAATAAAAGTAGCAAAAATGTATCTCCTCTTTATTTGTAGAAAGATTAACATACTTTAAAAAAAAATTTGCACTGCATTTTTATTATGGTATTGCATTTTATTCTGTACAGTATTACATTTGAATCAAAATAACACTGTTTCCCTCTTACTAAACACGTCACAAATTTTTGGGGGGTTGTTTTTTTTTTTTTTTCTTCAGATAGGAAACAGGAAAAGGGTAGACAAATAATGTGCACAGGATAAACCAATGACAGCTCAATGTCCTGGCTACTAGGTTATAAACACTTCCTTGTCTTCACAAACTGGAAAACAAGGAGGATTATAATTTCACAAGCACCAAAACAAAACCTGAGCAAAAGGATGCTTCTGACTCCTGTGTTTTCAAATCATTTCCTTAAACATAATGAGGACAATAAAAGAAATATCAGCTGAACATATAGCAAGAAAATTATCACTGTTAATAATTCGGCTACTTGGTTTCTGATTGAGAGGGGGAGAGGGGCCTATCTTGTGTACTGTCAGACACTGAACTCTCAAGAGGTACATCCCTTTAGACCAGTGGAGCATCTTCAGATATTCTTACAAAGTTAGTGTATAAACAGCAATGAAACAAGTTAGCAGTAAAACAATATTTCTCAACCTTTTTTATTCACAGACACCTAAAAAAAATTCTAAGGTTAATGGGAATTCTTTTAAATTTCTCATAGGTATTCTGTAGCACAAAATGTGTCCATGCAATCCAGTTAAACCCACTTAATAGTCCACGAACACCCAAGAGCCATAAAGCACAACTTGCAAATCCTATTGCTATAAAATTTATAACTAGTTCAGCAAGCAAACACTTTCATGGTGTAACTCCTGAGCTATTCTACAAACGCAGTTATATGACACAAGAACACTTTTTCAAGGACTTCCTCTTTGCAAAACCAATTGTCATATCATTTGCACTGTCATGCAATCATTTCAAAGGGCTCTAGTTCTCTAAATAACTGAACACTACTTTGCTGGAGCACAAGAAAATGAAGCATGCACTGCCGTGCTCATGCAGCACAGATTGCTTCCATTCATAACAACAAAGAGATGGTGAAGCACATTGACCTCCTACTAAGTGCCTACTTTGCTATGCCCCTCTCTAAAGTTTACTGATTGCTGAGAGTTCCAGCTCTGACTTCAGTACATACAGCATCAGAATCAGCCTTCCCGCCTGCCACAGATGTTGCTTTAGATGACACAGCATCACCTGGGTTTCGGTAAGTAGTCATTAAAACAAGGGTACTTTACCCATGGGGTCTTGATCAACTGTGTGGGGCTGGGGTTTTTTCCTCCTCTTATAACATGAAAACTTAGCACTTTTCATCACAAGCAGTATCACCTTGGGAAAAAAACCCTTAAATTTTGTATATCATGGCTCACTAAATTCATAAAGAGCTAAATGTTAAAATAGCAGCAACCTCACGTCAACCATAGGTTTTTCCATTATAATCAACTAATGGTACAAATGGTAATTTTCATTTCATCCTTTCAGAAAATCTTTATGAAGACATGTTTTGCCAAACATATGCCAAAATATACGCCAAAAAGTAATGCCTTCATGTTGCTAGCAATGTATTTAGGATCAATAAAATTATTACAGATGCACTTTTTATGGGTAGATATCACTAACAGTGTCTTTTAAACATCATGAAGTATCCATTATATCTAAAATCTTTCTACCTTTTTTAAATATTTATGTCAAAACAGAAATGTTACCTTTCAAGTGTTTGGATAATCAAATGTGCTTTTAGAAAATGCTAAGAGTTGGGGTGTTAACTGCTTGAAATATCTAAGCTGGGTAACTAGGTTTTGATGCCTGAATTATTAAATTATTTAAACTATTATTATTAAATAATTTAATAATTCAGGGATCAAAACCTAGCTACCCAGCCTAGATATTTCAAGCAGTGCTTTGAAGAAATTGTTCTTAAAACAGCCACTTCAGCAGAGGACATTTTAAAGTTAGATTGTGCATTATAAAGAGAAGGCATATATAGGGTTCTGATTTACTTTAAAAAGTAATTATATGACTTCATATGTAAGCCATATTTGCAGAATTATGTTGGGGAGTACAGCCCTCTATGCTTCATCAAAGCCAAAAAGATTCATCAAGCCAGAGATTTTCAAGCTCTGAACAGGATCTAAACACTGTTGAAAATAACACCTACGGATTTCTGGTTTTGAGATTTCTGGAAATTTTAGCTGTAGCAGCATGCATGATTGGGCTGTAGAAATGAAATTTTTTTATATAGATACAGCCTTTAAGAGTTACTGGAGATGATCTTTTGAACATTTAATTCAAAACAAACATCTTGACTAATTTATATGGAAATCAAGCATATTACTATAGTGTGTTTGGTATGGAAAGGAGGTGGAGCTCAGTCCCCAAACCCAGTCTGAGATGTACCAAAAGATTCAGCGGCCAAGGCGAACCCTCGTTCTATCATGAAGTGCTCTTCCCTCTAATGGCTGTGCAGCGATGCTCTGTGCCACCCTATATGCAGCCAGGCATACCTAACTCCTTTATCCCAGACCACCACCATTTCACTGTTGTCAAAGTATCTGTCCAAGCACTGAGGCAATGTGGCGGCTCTAGTTCATTTTTTCACTTGCAATCATCATTTCCTTCTTATCTTCCTCCATCAGGTCTTCCCTTCACATATGTGGGATTTTCCTAAAGAACCTCTCTTTTCAATAAATTGATCACCAGCCTCAGGGTTGAATCTCTCCACGCTATAAATACGAGTGGGTGCACTCAATTTCTTTTTCTGTCATCTCAGCCTAGGCACTAATCATGCTCTGTCCACCATTTCTGCTCAAATATTCAGCGTGAGGTTTTATGGAGGCAGAGAGAATCTTTTGTTGTTTCTTTAATACACATGCTTGACTGAGGTCAGGCCAAACCCTCAAACCTAGAGGTAGACCAAGAATACATCACTTGCTTACGGCTTGCCAAGATAAATTTCTGTTTTCTTCCATACACCCTCTTTCCCAGTTCACACAGTTTTGGAAATCAAGCGTAAAATTCTCTGATAAAACACTGTAACTATGCTAATGAAAAAAATAAGCTTGCAGCGGCCCTGAACTAGCAAATAGCATCACACATTCCAGGCATCAGCGAGACTCTAATGCTCCTAGCTGTTTGTTTAACCAGTATGCAGCATTAATTCTTCCCAATTCAATCACCTTTGATGTGTACAACAACTGAGTAGCTTCATTCAGCTTTACATTTCTGATTAACATTTCAAGTGACGGGGAGGGAGAGGCATACATGCAAAGATAGATACTCACATGGACACATCCATCGGCAGCCACACGTTTCTTCAATCTTAACAGCAGGAAGATTGCTGTGACATACTGGTTTTGGCATCCTCTCACAGTTAATTTGGTGACTCTCTAGAACTGTGTAATCTCCTGGAAAGCATGTCACAGTGTGGCACTGGTCCGGTAACGTCCATTTGTCACCAGGCTAGATAGGGAGACATGGATATTTAACAATTGAAAAGAACATGGGCAGAGGGGAAAAAAATGCAAAACTTGGCTGCTGCCATGCTCCTACAGCGAGCAAGTGAAGTGACACTGACAGCAGTGGTCCTCAAATTAGCCCTGGATAATTAAATAATAGAATGCAGTGTATTAAGGACTTCATGAGGATGAGAAAGTTTAAATTAGCAACACTGTAAGAAATAGACTTCGAAATTCCAAGCAAAAGATAAGAGTCTAGAATAGGAGATGTTTTGTTACAGCAGAATGAAGTATCTGGTACTCCATCTATTGTTAGCTTAGCCATCTTACAGATGCATGGATAGCACAGTCAATAAAGAATTCCCCTTAGCTTTTCTTTAAATGTCAAAGCCTTTAGTTTTCATAAGCCATAAAATTATTTTAGAAAGAG